GATTTTACTCCCGATTCCCAGCATTCATTTTTATACTTTATACTTCTCTGACATATTTAAAGCCCATCCCAGAGTTCTGCAGCTTAAAGACATCTTCAAATTGCCATTTGTAACTGAAGCCTTATTGTATTTCTGTATTCTGCTGCAAGGTAAAGTCTTTGGCAGTGTCAGGGAGTCCCTGTTGGAAGAGAAGCCAGAAGAGGCTGCAGTGAAAGCTCTCTGTCCATAMATTCTGGAGCAAGCCCTCAGGCTAGTTGCTTGCCCTGAGATATTAGTTAATCAGCTGATGTGGTGTAGGGGCCTGCTGGGTATTGGCCTTCTACTGATGCTGTAACAACTCTATCACAGTTATAATATGTTAAACCTAATTAATTTTCCCTGGTTGCCACCACCTGCTTCTACTTAGATCAAGYGCTAATGACTAGTTGACAGTAGTTAATGAGCTCCTGAAGCAAGCAACTCAATTTCTTCACTGACTAAAATTACTTATTTCTTCTAGCACCACGCCCCTCCTCCCTGGGATATTTGGCACCATGAGCTCTCCTTTGTGTCAGGAAGGATCCACCTCCCTCTCTAAGAGASTGTGGCAGGGGGTGCTGTCCAGGGCTACCCTCCTCCACTGAGCAGGGGAGCTGTGCTTTTATCCACATCTTTTCACACTGGACCAGTTCAGCTGTGAATCTTTTACTGGTGGCATGCCCCRCAATCCAACCCTCTGCAGCCATGGTGTCACCTTCCTAGGAGTGATGGGCTTTGTATATGGTGCTTTTGGTGAATCCTGCTGTGGTTGTTAGGGTAGCTCTTYCTGTGTAATCCAAGATCATAGAATGGTTTGGAATAGAAGGGACTTTTAAGAYAATCTAGTTCCAACCTCCCTGCCATGGGCTGGGGCACCTTCCACTGGACCAGGCTGTTCAGAGCTCCATACAACCTCACCTTGAAGACTYACAGGGGTGRAATTTTGATAATAAAGATTGCTGTATGAATTGCTCATGGGGAAGAGGATCTGCTCTGTGCCCAGATATTTAGGAACTGTATCACCATTTTCCTTCTTTCCCATAGGTGCTTTAGGTGTCATTGCCTTGCTCTGTGCCAGCTGTAAAGTGCTCTGATTWTAGTGAAATGAACAACTTGCTTATGCCAGATAGGCACCTAAATTCTTCTGACAGTCATGATGAAATGACTTCCTTAAGATAGATTTGGCACTTGGAGGTGTCTATACAGAAGAAGCACTGGTCACCTACCTTGTAGCTCTGGTCCCAAATMATTTTCCAAACTGGGAGATAGTGTCTTTCAAGCCACAGGTTGTGAATGGACAACTGAGTCCAGACACCTGGCTGTCTGTGTGAAGGGACTACTAAAAAGCAGTAGGACAAATGAGAAAATATGACCATTGGGGACATACTCTATGCCTGGCCAAGGCAAAAGCCTGGCAAAGTTTGCCACCACTGCCTGAATTGATCGTCACAGATTGTCTACCTTCCTGCAATTTTAAGTATTTTCTGTCTGCCTTGAATTTTAAAGATTCAATATTTTATAAGATTGTTTTCTAAGTTCCTCTTGCTTCTGCAGAATATAGTCTCTGGGGAATTGGTCAGGCTGGCCTAGAGATAGGATGAAGAATAAAGTACTTTAATAAGAGACCCTGCTCAACGTCAACTATTTGGATTCTCTCCCTCTTCTGAATCTATTAGAGAAATCTAAAGCATCACAATAATTGTTTAGATGATTAACCATCCTTCTGATCATGCATGTAAAACCCTGTGGACATGGTTTTTTTCCCCTGTAGTCTCAGTTGCGGCTCCCAGATCCATATGGAGGCTCTGCGGTTCTCTGCATATAGCACCGTCTGTGTGTCAAAAGCAGTGTCCCTGTCATGTTACTGCCTCTGCTGGGGATTGACAATGTTCACATGGCCTCCCTGGAGCCTGCAAACCATCTGCAAAGACATTCCTGGAATGGCCAAACCCCAAGGCTCTTGAGCTAYTGGGATCCCATAGCACAATTGAGTTTATGCTCCACTAAGCTGCTCACAAGCAGCTACAATATAATTATTACAGTCCTTATCCCCGCGGCTGTGCAGAGATGTCATAAACATGGGATGACTATTTAATTATAAAAAAAATTCTGATAATTATTCATCAAAATGCTGATGGTACCCAATTCACAGCAGAACTGTGGTAAGGAGAAAGTGGCTCTACTTCACCACAATGAATCTTCTTGGTGGCAACTTCTGCATCAATGTGAAGTCACAAAGAAGAAAAAAAGTGCAAGAACGAAAAATGTTTCTGTATTCTCAGTAATTTTTGAAACCATCCTCCTAATTCCATACTTGTGCCTGTCTTGTGTGATAGATGYGATAATGTCTCAAGACAAAATAAAAGCATAATAATTCTCTTTTACAATTCTGCTCCAAGGAAAAAAGACAAATTATGCCTTGTGAAGAAACCATTTGCTATAAAGTGTAAAAATGCTTTAATATTAATATTTTATAATAAAATTCATGACATATTTATAAACACTCTATCAAGCATTTACAACTGAACCACAGCTGAGAGCTTGGACCGGAATAAATAAGCAAGGACACAGCTAGTATGAAATATACAGCTTAATTTTTATAATTGTGTGTGCTTTATTCTTTACACAAATGGAATGGATGCGCAGAGTATTTACACATAACAGGAGTGTAAGCTGGACAGGGTGTTTTGTAAACTCCAGTTCAGATTCTGAGTACCCCACACTAGAGCTGGACTGAGAAACATCCTGCTAAAGAGACGCGCGCCGGACATTGTGCCGGAGGGAGCAGCTTGGTGCCTACAGGCTGCTGCACTCAGAAATTCAAACTGGCCAATTCAAATTTAGGAGCACAAATTCAGAAATTAAAAGCTTGCTATCCCACTAAGAGCCAACAGTGTTGCCATTTTTTTTTTCTTTTTTTTTTTTATGCTTCCCCCCATCCCCCTGAAGATCTTGCCTAGGATGTTGGCTACTGCCCATCCCCAGAAATGCTGTTTTACATCAGGGCCAGAAGGTGTAAGCTGCTAGTAGTGTGAGACATGATGGATCACCTCTTGTGCTCTTCACCTTAAAAACAGACTCTCAAAAAGGCCAAGGAGGTGGTGGTTCCTAATACTCTTGATGAGATGTCAATGCAGCTGAAGCCTTCTGCAAAACCATTTGTGGCCCTTGGGGTGTCTTTTTGTTCAGCAATTTTACAGCACTGGCCTCAAAAGGATCTTGGTCCATGACTCGGCCCTCTGGGTGCTACAGTAAAATAAGCAGTAAATAATGGTGGAACGTGCTGAGCTGCTGCTTAATCAGGTGGCCTTGGTGTTTTACAGTAATGCAAAAAAATCAGTGTAATGAGGAGGATGGATATTTAAGTTCAGGTGGTATAAATGGGATGGGCTCCATTGAAATCAAAGGAGTGACCATGATTTCCACTGGATGAGAATCTAGGTTAGCTATATGCTGGGTAGATTTTAGGTGTTATGTGTTGTTAGATTTGATACTGATTTTTGCCCTAGAATGGGAACTTTTTTTTTTTTGGCATAATGACCTCATTCTTATTTCTGAACCAATTGACAAAATATCTGATTTTTAATGGAAAAGAAAAATGTTTATTCCACCAAGGAGTGGTCTCGCACACTTGAATGCAGTTGCAGTGAACCACATGCATAACATGTCAGGCACAATGTTCAAGAGGGAAAATATTGAGATTAAAAGCTGTGAAGGACAAAAATCCACTTTCTGTGAACATGGCAGATATTATGGCTTTAAATCTGCAGCTGAAAAGGAAGGTTGATACTTTTTTCATCAACACTGTTTTTCCTACAAATATCCTCATGTGTTTTCATTCATTGAATCCTCTGGTCAGGGATACAGTTTGAAAAACAAAAAAATAAAATATAAGAAAATCAAAACAAAAATACAGTTTGAGTGCTGATGAGCAAGTAACAGTGAAGGTGTAACGCCCACAATTTTGCCATGGAAAACTAATGTAAATAGGTAGGTGAATGTTGTATACTTAGGACACTGCCGCTGGCTCGTAGTGGTTATTAGTTCAGGTTCCACACTGCTCTCCAGGATGAGGATTTGTAATTTCAGTGCAATGGAGAGATTTCTTATCCTTGACTTTCACCGAGTGGTTCCTAGGACCCTATCCACACTGGAGCATCAAACCATGCTAGCTACAAACACAACTACATCACAGAATATTGATCTAGAAACAGCCTTTACTACCAAAGAAATTACAAAGCGCTAGCATGGACAGGGTACCTCTGTAGGAAGGGGGATTAAGCAACAAGAGGATCTTTCACTGGTTGATGGTCAGACCGTAAGACCAGTGAAGAAGTGTCATCCCACTGAGCCCTGTTAGCAAGCTCTCAATGAGTCAGTGCATGGAAGATTTTTTTTTTGTTTGTGGCAAGGAAAAATAATTAAATTGTAATATTGTACATCTGCACAAAGCTAGCAAGATGTCATTGTGATCATTCATGGGTGGACAAAAAGTTGTGGTATTTTTGATTCTGCTTAGACCCTACGGTGCTACACACTGTGCCAGAACATGAGATATAGCACCAGGGGTGTGATCTGGCACTTTTCCTAAAGGGTCCAGCATTTGCATTTGTCTCATATTTAGAAACTCCCAAATCTTTTACATGGACAGAAACAGAGTCTGATTATGCTAAGCTGTGTTAGCACCAATATGGAGTCAGGCGCCAATTGATGTGGGTTGTGAGTTTGGACTTTTTCACCAGATGTAATTGTGCATGAGTCTTTATGTTTTTCTTCCTCCTCCCACTACCACCCAGTATGATCTGAACAGCTGCAATGCAAAAATGGACTGCAGCTCTGAGGATGCTGCAACGTGGAATGCAAAACATCAACACACAAAACAAATGGGAGTACAAGTCCTAAGGGAAATAAGACCTCTCACTGCTCCTCTGGATGATTTGTTTTTAAATATA